GCCAGCTCCACATCACTCCACTCACCAGGTACCAACGTCCCACAGTGGCAGATGAGGGGGCAGGACTTCAGGGTGCAACAGAAGACATGGCAAAAGCAATCTCTTTCCCAAGGGGATGTATAATTTGGTGTGAGAAGCTGACTACATTTTTTTAAAAATTATTATTGCTGAAACCGGTTTGCTCAGTGAATAGAACGTCAGCCTGCAGACTCAAGGGCCCCGGGTTCGATTTCGGTCAAGGGCATGTACCTTGGTTGTGGGCACATCCCCGGTGGGGGGTGTGCAGGAGGCAGCTGATTGATGTTTCTCTCTCATCGATGTTTCTAACTCTATCCCTCTCCCTTCCTCTCTGTAAAAAAATCGATAAAATATATTTTTAAAATTATTATTAACAAATACAATTAACTCTGGTGTTATGCAGGAAAGATGTTGAATAAAACAGAGTAGCCAAAATGGCTGTTTTCTTCAAGACACTTTACTAGTATATGGTAGCAAATTGTCGTAATTAATATTCAATCCCCTCCATGTCTTTGGCATGAAGGCATCCTGTGAGTTATTGCAAGTATGCAACCTGCACATGTTTTTAGGAGCCATATAGATCAGATGTACAAAAACATTAGGGAAGTTCTTGACAAAGTAGCATTGAAGCTGACATATAAAGACTATATTGTAGCTCCAGGTAAATGACAGAAAGGGACAATTCTAGGCAGGAAACAATGTATGTGAAGGACATGGATGCACAGGAGTAGGGCACCTTTGTATAACTGCGGGGAAGTATGACAGAAGACAAAGTGCAGTTAGGGCCCAGAACACTCTGGGCCTAACAAATTGTTTAAGATTTTGGATTTCAGCCTAAGAGTAATAGAGCACCATTGAAGGAACTTAGGTAAGGGAGTGGTAGGCTCAGATTTGGGATATTTGAGACATCACTTATCTTGAATTTGTAGAATGTATTGCAGGGACAAGAGCAGGTGTGAGACATTCCATACTGAATCAGTATCATGCACTGTTAGAACAGTGGCTACTTGGTCCCATCCAAAACATTCATGGAGACATTCGGTCTGCACCAAAATGTCCTTGAAATTTGATCCTATCGAAAACCTACATGAGCATATTTGGTCCATGTCAAATATGTCCTGTTCAAAACATCCATGCTTACAAAGAATCCCTGAGTTCAAGTGACCCATAAGGTTTACTTATACTTTGGGTTTACAGAATTAATATATTAAAAAAAACTATCATGTTTTATTGGTCCAATGTATTGCTAAACAATAACCCTTCTCACCTTGGTAGCTATTTGGTAATGACATATGGCGTTAGGTAGATTACTATTGTCTTTATGGACATTTTGGACAGGATCCAATATCAAGGACTAAACATCAAGGACCTTTTGGTGTAGTCTCTGTAGACCTTTTTTTTTTTTTCTTTTGATAGGGCCAAATGTCTTACAAGGACACCGTTATAATAGAAAAGCATCTTAGTGTACCACATTAGTGAGCAAGAATTTATCAGGAAGAAAAGGCCTGGAAGCACACATGCAGATGCGAGGGCAGGACATATAAAGGCGTGAAAGCCTGACACATAGTTGTGTGTTTGCAATGTCACCAGCACCAATGGTGCTAAGGTGAAAACCAGGTGGAGAATGGAGGCGATGGAAGAGGGGAGTCACAAAGTCAAGCGATGCACAGACGGAGAGGCTGTGCTGGGATTGTGGGTGGATTGCTCAGTGGAAGAGTGGTACTTCATAGATCTGAGGAAGGTGCATTTGAAAAAAGAACTGTGATAAAACTATTGTAATGGTCTAGGTGAGAGATGATTCAACCCCAAATCAATTGCTGAGAAAATAGAGAGGAGATGAGAGTGTTGAGAACCATTTAGGAAATTAAGTTGGTACAACTTGTGGTTTGAATGTATATGGAAGTTAAGAAGGAAGAGCCTAGAATGACTATGGGCTTATGCTTGGGTGGCCAAGTGAATGATGGTGTCATTAACTGAAACAAAATATAGGAGGAATCACAACAAGTTTGAGGGGAACATAATGAACCCCGGTTTCTCGAGGCTGTGTTAGAGGCGACTGTGAGGCATTTAATTATGTACACAGTGTAGGGTCATCTAATGCTGGAGAGAGTCAGTGTTGGAGGGATAAAGGGCAGTTAGGGGAATGCATAGGATAACAAGATGAAAATGGGGGGAGGAATCAAGCTGATGAGAAAATGCACAGAAACCTTACCACTTAAGAAGAATCTTGCTAAATACCCCTCCGGTATTTATTGTCTTTTTGGAAAAGAGTGGTTCTGCATTTCTTCTGTTACATGAAATCACTCTGTTCAATCAGCATATGTCAAATGCCAGAAAAATCTGTGTTTGAACCCAACTCTAATATTAACAGCTGAGCGAGCCACCAAAGTGCAAAATGAAACAAAACAAAAACCCAACCTCGAAACTAACCCACGTGGTAAGTGATTGCAAAGGAAGGACAAATATTATAAGCACACTTTCAAAAATGTGTAGCACAGACCAGCTATATTTTCAATGCCTAGAATCATCTATGTATATAAAAGCCTAAGTGACCAAACAACCTGTCACTACTGACCACCAGGAGGCAGACACTCCATGCAGGAGTGTGCTCAGTGTGCTCCTACAACCAATCTCCCACGACCCCTCCCCCCAGCCAACTTCCCATGGCCCCAATTGACTCTAATCGCCAGCCTGTCTGAGGGGCCCCACCCGGGCTGAGGGACCCCACCGGTGCACAAATTTACACACCAGGCCTCTAGCAAATAAATAAAGAGCCAAATAGGTCACAGATTTGCAGAAAGATGAACGGATCAGGAAATAGCCTTTCTCAGCTATTTTCCTACTATGTTGTTTTTACTTTCTTTCTGACTTAGATACCTCTTACTTTTTGTGAACTTCAAACAAAACATCTTGCTGGGCTGGTTTGGAGGTAGCCTAGGATCTCACCAGCAGGAAGTGAGCCCTCAGAGTCTGGAGAAGATTCCTCTGCCATCTTCCTAACAGAGAGAGGGGGCTCTCAGCAGATGCAATATATTTCTTTTAAGTCTGTTTGCAATCAGACTTAAAAGAAATACAAGATTTGATAATAAGGTGTCCATGGTTGAAGGAGATTAATGGGCAAAGGGAAGCTCTCTTGTTCTTCATATCTCACCGCTCAAGAGAGGCTGTGGTAAGACTCTGGAGGCCCAAATCCTTCTTTGTAGATAGGAGCCCTCTTCTGCTGTCAGCCGATGGATGGAATTACTGTGTTAGCCATTATGATGACCACTTCTGAGCATGGATGTGCGCTGTGGGACGCGGTGGGGGGCTGTATTTATCTCAAGAAGTCAGTCTTACACAGGAATCCACCTGAGAAAATCAGGTGCCTTCCTCTCCTGGCATCCAGCCTCCAATACTCAATTAGACAAGAGGAGGTCCCTACTCTTCTCAGGATCCCCACCTCAGTGGCTGAACCCTGGCTCCCCTCCCCTTGCCCACCTTTGCTGCCCTCCGTTTAGCCATGGTCCCATGAGTGCCTTTGCCTGAGAGCCTCTCACCCAGCAGAATCTGACAGTGGTCCAGGGACTGACAGGGTTACCCAATGAAACCATGGTGACTGGATTTCTCCAGGGGGGTGTCAGGTTCTCAGAGGCATCATAGAGAAGGCGCTATAGTCAGGATGTGAGGCTGCCAGGATGAATGTAAGAGAAAGGCATTCTCACCTGCATGGATCAACACTGAGCCCCGAGGAGAGTGTTTTGTTCTGCAGGTAATTCCACACTGTACATGGAATACCTGCAAGACTAAGCCTGTGGGCTGTCCCAGGTACAGGCTCCTCAAAGGAACAGAAAAATTCTGTTTATGAATGTTAAATCATTACTATTTCATGGCCTGTCTTATTTTAATTGGATGATTTTGCTACTGCATCTGGATGGGTCATACAAATAAGCAAAACTACGTTGTTTCTCCACCCCTGAAAGAAGATGTGTGCTGCGAACGAGGCCCACCACAAATGCTGGGCATATCAAGAATAACCTAAGTGAATACTCGCACTAACTAGGCACCTGCTTCCTTACTACTCAACGCAAACGACTCAGGACTCAGCGTTCCCTGGGTTGGGATGGTGGGAAGACTGCAGAGCCACCCAAATGAGGCTGTCAGGAGGGAGGGTCTGAGAACTTCATAGAGGGGTGAGCCCGCAGGGCAAGTTTGGGGCGCGGGGCTGGAGCCCCAACCCCTCGGCGGGTTGTGAGCGGACAGGATGGGGCGCGGCCCCCGGGAGGGGCGAGCGCGCCACCCGAGCTCCCCGCCCGCCCCCCGCGCCCGCCACGCACCCGCGCATCCCGCCCGGCTGAGCGCCGCCGCCAGTCCCGGGAGCCCCGCGGAGCTGCGGGGACCGCGCTGGGCTGGAAAGGGCCCTGGGGCAGAGCAGGGAGCGGGGTCCGAGAGCCTGCGCGGTGCTGCGGGCGCGTGGCGACCCTGAGAGCCGAGCCCGAGCCGGGGGCGCGCTGCTCATCCCCCGCCGGGGCGACCTCTGGACCTCTCCACGGGCGCGATTCCGGGAGCCAGAGGTGAGCATCGGGCTTGGGGGGGCGCAGTCCTTGGGAGCTCGGACATGGCACTCGAGGTCTCTTGTCCCCGGGGGCTCAGAGCGGCAGTCTGAGGACCTGGCCACCGGAGGACGATGCCTAGGAAAGGGGGGCTTCTCGGGAGCTAGGGGGCAAAGAGCCAAGCTCTCCACCCCACCCAGCACCCAGCAGCGCGCCTGTCCCCTAGGGTGACAGCTAGACGCCCTTCTCCTGGTCCCGCCCTGGGGACCGGCGGCCCTGGTGGTGGGCAAACAGCGGGCCCTGGACCCCCAGCCCCGCCGGCCTCTGTGCGCTCAGCCTGGCGCGGGCAAAGTTTGCCTCCCCCGGTCCATCCAGCCCGTTCTCTCGCTCCCGCAGCCCCGAAGGTGCAGAAGGTGCAGCCTGACCGCACGCCCCACCTGCAGCGGCCCAGCCATGGAGCCCCCGGTTCAGATCTTCCGCGGAGACCCGGGCCCCACCTGCGCGCCCAGCACCTGCCTGCTCCCCAACGGCAGCGGCGGGGCCCCGGGCGACAGCAACGGCAGCGCGGGCTCCGGGGACTCGCCGCTGGAAGCCACCTACATCTCCCCCGCCATCCCGGTCATCATCACGGCCGTCTACTCCTTGGTGTTCGTCGTAGGCTTGGTGGGCAACTCCCTGGTCATGTTCGTGATCATCCGGTGAGCGAGCGAGCGCAGGGGCCGGGCGCGTTCGTGGACAGAGACAGGAGGGAGGGCGAGGGCCCGCCACCAAGACCTGGGATGGCCAGCCAGCCAGGTGGTAGGGGACTCTATACCATCTATGCAGGGAGAGTCTCAGAGGGTGGCCTCTTCCACATGAAGGATTTCCAGGGAGAGTTGCTTGTGGGAACTGTGAGGTTCACACAGGGCGAATCTGAGGGGCCAGAGACTCTTGAGGATGTGTTTCCTCATTTCCCCCACCCCTCTTGTAAACGCTCGACTGGTACCCAGTAAGGACCAGGGTGTGGAACAAGGCCAGTGTCTCCTGCAGAGAAAACCAGTCCATTTGCTTGGCCCTTTGCTAGGGGTTGCCCGGGCCAGTTTGGAGCACATTGTTTTGCTCTCTGGAAATATTTTTTAAGATAAAATTCAGAGCCGAAACCAATTTGGCTCAGTGGATAGAGCGTTGGCCTGCGGACTGAAGGGTCCCAGGTTCGATTCTGGTTAAGGGCATGTACATTGGTTGCAGGCTCATCCCCGGTAGGGAGTGTGCAAGAGTCAGCTGATCGATGATTCTCATTGATGTTTCTTTCTCTCTCCCTCTCTGTATAAAAATAAATAAATAAATCAATAAAATAAAATAATTTTTAAAAAGCTTTTAAAAAATTCAGATCTACCGAGTACACTGTATATAAATCAGAATTTCTTTGCTTCCCCATGCTAGTATTAAGTTTTATGAAGCAAAAGCCAATATACTATTTAAGGTTGTTTGATATTCATGCATGAAGCCTTTTTTAGTACGGAAATGCTATCTGTTTAGACTATCAGTGATTTTTGTAAAGAAGCCATCTAATAGTTGTCTCTAAAGTATGTATGGGTGGTGGAAGTTTAAAAAAAATTACTTTGTTTTTTTTATTTTCCACTTTGAGAAATCGAAGGTTTTATTTTATTGTTCTTTTGTGGGATTCTGTTGATTTCAACTTCCAATAATAAATACCCAGCTATCCACGTGAAGCTAATGTTCTGGTAAGTGAATTATTCTTATTTTGGCCTCTTTCAACAAAGAAAAAGAAAAATATACAACTTTGTTCTGGTTGCCCCTTAAGATATATGTGTTTCACTTTCTGGGAGACTTGATGCCCTGATGCACCTTTGAGAGGAAATAAAAAGCTTACCTTGCTTTGAGAATATCCTGTGAAATAAAATGTGCAAGTCACTCTGTTTAGGGGCATTAAGAAATGAGGGACTAATTTCTCCTTTTTATCCTGACTTCAGTTTTAAAACAGGCTTTTTATTTATTACGAACTTTAAGAACAGTATCTACAGTAACAGGAGTCTGATTCTCTTGGGAAATCATTGTCATATGAATGCCTTTTATCTTTTTTTTTTTTTTTTTTTTTTTTTTTTTTTTTTTTTTGGCTTGGGAATGTCAGGTCTTTTATCCTCACCCGTGCTCCGAAACTAAAAACCATTATTTAGACCTCCAAATACATTACGAAGCTCATTTTACCTACAATTAGTGTCTGTAGCTTGGTACCCTTGGTTTCCATAATTGCTCATTGCATTTTACAGGAATTCAGAGATGAGTAAAGGCTACAGGAGGGGGACTATTTTAAAAGCAAATTGTTCTTCCAAGTCATTAGTAATTTCAGGGCTGCTCTCCATTGGAGAGATTGTAGTAACTAAAAGGAAGGACAGCTGTATTTTATGTTATAATTAAAACCCTTAAAAGATCTGTGATACAGGGGCTGTTGTTTTTGTAATAAAAGATGGCTGCACAAAAAGAGACGCTAAGAAAATGCCCAACTCTGCTCCCACTCAGACTATATTCACTTGCTTCCGTAAAACAGATACAGCTTATCATCATTTGAGCACCTGAAGTCTTTGCTTGAGGAGAGTTTCTCAGCTGCAGTTAGTGTTCCCATAAAAACATCCTTCCATCCTTCCACCTCACTCTCCATTACTTGGCGATTATGTCAGGTAATAAATGAAAAGTGAAGAATTATACTGTCATCCTGGAATGCCAGCCTATTGAAACGATAGCGCTCATAAATCTATAGCTAAGAGAATTGTAGAGTACTTCGAATTTGTTCAGGATGATACATAGTCAAAGAACTGGAAAATACAACCTCAGAAGAAAAATTGGGGGACCTGGGTTTCATTGGCTCAGGTGGAGAAAGGAGTGAAGGTTGGAGAGGGTTAGGATGTTCATCAGATCGGGGCCTGGATTCACATGCAGCTTTTATCATTGCTGTTGAGGGCTGAGTATGGAAAGATGGAGGCTCACTTTGAAGAAGAACACACTTTTAATACACATGCAAAGGGGTCCTGGTGGAATCCAGTCAACTAGGGACTCATTTTGAAGGTGGAATTTGGGTGCTTGGATGGTGGGGCAGGTGCCAGGCTCATGGCCAGCTGAGACCTGAGGAGGAAGTTAGGGTTGTGGAATAAGCATTGATTGTTTGCAAGCCTGCCATACAAATTAAAGTTTCAGTTGTTTTCATCCTTTAATGCGATTCCCTTACGTGAGGGCACATTAACCTTTCACTATGAAAACCTTAAAGTCTGGGCATGTCAGAACCTCCTCCCTCCAGGCTTTGGGGTTTGTAGCTTTGGGGGTGGGAAGTTCTTTAGCTTTTGATCCACATCCTGGGGTCCCACCACCCCTGTGTGCCTAGCGGTGTGACACTTGTGCTCTCTTCACCTGCAACCCAACCCACTCCCAGACCTGGCCAGGTAGCCCCACCTCTAACATCTTAAGCATCCATTCTCCCGCTCTCATGACAACTGTCTCCTCCCTTAGCAAAAAATAATTAAAATGTAATGAACACTTACGTTAAGCCAGAATGGTAAAGCTACCTGCTTGGAGTGAATTATTTTATTTAATCTTCGTAGCCATAGGTATATTACCATGACCACTTAACAATTGTTGAAAGTAAGGCAAAGAAAGATTAAACAAACTAACCAATGCCACAACTTGCTAACTTGTGGGACTAGAATGACCCCAGCACTTTGACCCCAGATCCTGAGGTGTGATCCATTCTGCTATTCATTTTGCTCTATACCACTTCTACAGACATTGGACAGGTTCAAGCCTTAGACAAATGAGGGCACCATCCTCTCAGGGCCACATGCAAGTCCCAGCGTGGAGGGCAGAGCCCTCCCAGCACAATTATAGCCAACAGCTGTAGTTGTGAGTTTGAACCTGCGGTCCGAACACGTGGCCCCATGTGCCTGAATGATATAGGCTGCAAGTAAACAAAGCTTGATCAGGTGCATGTAATGGAGTAGGATTAAAACCCAGGAGAATGTTGTAAGCATCTTGACCACGCCCTTACTTTGCCTCGTGGCATCTGCTACAAAATAAAGACACGGCCTATAGTCCGTGGCTCTGTTTCTCCATGAGGAAACAGCATCTCACTGAGACCCAGCTTTCATCCTCTTGTCTGACTTTTCTAAGCTTTTCAGCTGCCCCCACTCAGGGTCACTGAACCTGGCTGAACTGGCGAAGCACATAAGGAGCCCTGGGGCCAAGTATGCCATGGCCAGGCCAGCCCGGCACCCCTTAATTCTGGCTCAAGCCAGTAACCTGTCTTCCTTGTTCCTATACCCAGCTAGTTTAATGCTGCAGAATAAATTCAATTTTATCTTTGTCAGGGCAACACCATTTGCTACAAGTGTATCCGGCTAAAATTCTGCCTAGTGTTCCTGTGTCTCCTATTTTCCTGAAAGATCCCATTCCTTTTACTGTTTTCCATTTGAAAAAACCTAATTTAAATGGTACTAATCCCCAAGCCCTCAATCTGACCATATCATCCAGCTGTTAGAACACTCCTTCTCTTACCTACTTGTACTGGGAGCCACCCTCCCCTCATTCCCTTTCACCTCAAAGAGTTCCCTTCCTTCTATCCAAGGCAAATCCCTGCTCCTGTGTTTTTCATTTTCACAGCCATAGATTTCTTTGCCATATCAGTTATCTCCTTTCTACTCTATCCATAATCTCTCCCCTTCTACTGCTTTTGTCCCGTAAGCACCTGGACATACTCAAGTATTTCTCATCTTAGAAATAACATTCACAACACTTCTAGTTTTCTGAGTTCCCTTAGCTAACGACTTTTCATCCTCTTGTTTGTCACAGGTCAGCTCGGAGGAATAATCCCTCCTCTTCATTTTCTTGTCTTCCCCCTATTGCCTTTCTCAGGGCCCTTGAGTTCTTTTCCTGGTGCTGCTTCACCAAAGTGATGGTGCTTACATGCCAGAGGCTCTGGTGAGGCTGGTTATCACTTGTTTTCCATGGACATTGGCGTGCTTGACCAGTCTGACATTTCTTCCTCTCTACACCAGCCTCCTGTTCTTGACTTCCTTCCACATCCTTGAGGGTTCTCTTTAGTCTCCATCACAGATTCCTCTTCCTCTTAAGTTTCTTAAATGGTCACATTTTCCAGATCCTTCTTAGCTCTCCTTGGTTCTCTAGTCAGGCTTTCACTAGCCTAGTGGTCGGCAAACTGCAGCTCTCGAGCCACATGCCACTGATCAGGTGCATGTAATTGAGTAGGATTGAAACTGACTGATGAGTTTGCTGACTAATGGTTTTGACTTCAGATTAAAGACATTAGTACATAATTAAAATGTGTGTGTGTTTTTTTAAGAGTTTTTACCTAAGTGATTAGCAAACTCAGTCAACAGAGTGGCAAACTACTCCTGGAGGCTAGAAGATCAAGATCAAGAGGTTGGCAAGCTTGGTTTTTTCTGGGGCCTCTCTCCTTGGCTTGCAGATAGCTATTTTCTCCCTGTGTCTTCACATTGTCTTCTGTCTGTGTCCTAACAGTCTCTTCTTAGGATGCCAGCCATACTGAATTAGGGCTCATCTAAAGACTCCATTTCACCTCTATAAAGGCCATGTCTTCCAATGCAGTCCTATTCTGAAGACTCGATTAGGACTTGAACACATGAATTTGGGTCAAGGGACACAATTCAGCCCTAAAAACGATTGGTTCCCT